TTAACGCCTGTACAGAGGCTTAAAGTTCATAACTTTTGGAGCCTCCGCTATAAACAAATAGAATTGTGCGAAAATTATCGCACCTACAGCGCCCACTTTTGGCACACTTTTAAAGTATGACAAAACCCTCAACTTGTCATAGGTTTTATAAAATTTTAACAATAAATGCGATAGTTATAAACAAATTAAAAAATGGGCACTTTTCTTGTTTTTTTTTGCAATAACTTTTTTGTTTATTAACCGATTTTAATTTAACGAGTCTCATTTTGTAGATAATGTTACTCCCTACAAGCTGTCTGAGAATCACTTTTCGCTAAAATTTATGGTTTTCCCAGCAAAGTGAAAAAACTCTTTTCCTCACTTATTTGTTTAAATAGAGAAGTTAGCTAATAAAAGTTTTTAACTCACGAGACGAGAGATGTCTTGTATTATGTTCCTTTAGACGAAAAATTTTGCGACATGTTCTATGGCTAGGATTGAGATAATTTGGTTCATACATACATACTTTATCATACTTCATACTTTCATACATACTTCAGAGACTACTTCGATTTTAATTTTGAAAATTTGGGCAATAGTGTTTCCGGGCATACCCTTCTCAGCTAAAATAACGCCGTCCACCTTCCGGTTATACCAGGGTCGCTGATATGTATGAAAACGGTCGATTATCTCCAAAAGTAAGATAGCTATCGAAAAATCATAAGAAAAAAAACTTCCTTCGCCCTGACCAAACCCGTGTCGTAGCGAGGCGAAAAAAGTAGCTCAGCTATCAGCTCCCCGACTTGAGTTTGCCACCGTCTCTGACAAACGGCATCGGTAGCAATTATAATAATCACCGTCCCGCTCAAATGAGCATAACGATATCGAGTTAAATTGTAGCGAGGCTCTCGGGAGCACACATCGAACTTGACACGGCAATAAAGGAGGCTGCCGAGTTATATCGGATTCCGATCCGACTTATTGCATACTTCTGTAGCCCGCTCGATACAAAATTGCACGCTCCCCGGCGTCAGCGGCGGCTGCTAATTGTATAATTTGAGACTGGAAAATTTAATAATGTCGGTCTCCGTCGATAAATTACGAGTCCGACTTGAAGTGGAAAAGTTGCGAAAGGAACGGTCACATCTCTCTCGCGTTAGCCGGAACTTTTCGTCGGCCAACGTGGAATGCCTGGTTTATGGTTTCATCGGATGTGGAAAAATATCGCGCTTCGGGATGACTTTTAGGCGGGGGAGTGGGAAACACCGAGGTATGGTTCGTCTCAGGGTAACGGAAACACGGAATAATAAAAAAAAATATTCGTAACAGTAGTTTTTCTATAGAAAACGTCAAAAAGGACGTTTATTTCGCATTTTCGCATATTTATTTTTTGTAATGTTTAAAAGAAGTCTTTTTTTCCATTTTCAATTGTTGAATTCAACAAAAAACATATATTCGAGACATTTCTAGACATACATCTAAATTACGTCTATTATAACATTCCCTAATTATATTCGAGGCCTTTTCAAATAACCAATACAAGATTTTATAAATGAANATAAAAGAATTAGAAAAGAATTATAAATACAAGAATTTATAAAAGAAGAAAAGAAGAATAACTAACACAAGCCTTTATAAAATAAAAGAAGAATAAAATACTTATTCGAGACATTTTTTGAAATTCATCTAAAATACGTCTATTATAACATTCCTTAATTATATTCGAGGCGTTATCAAATAACCAATACAAGATTTTATCAAAGAATTAGAAAAGATGACTTTTTAAAACAAGAATAAACAAAATTTTATAAAAGAATAAAGAATCAATACTTTATAAAAGAAAAGATAAAGAAGACTTTATAAATGAATTAGAAAAGAATTATCAAGACTTTATAAAAGAAAAGAAGACTGTAAAATAAGAAAGAATTAAAAGATTTTATAAAAGAATAAAAGAAGAAGAAAAGAAACGGAGAAAGGATTATCAAATAACCAATAGAAGACTTTATAAAAGAAAGACTGTAAAAGAATTAAATTTCTCTTACACTATTTTCTGTCTCTAGTTTTCTAAAAGTAAATTGCCAAAAATTGAATGACATAAGCATTATTTTAATGTTTTTGAAAATGACGTTACAATATTTTAAACGCATTTTCCTTTGCAATTTGGTTATTCCAAGAGTAAATTGACACAAATAGAAAATGTGCTGATTTCATATCTTTTAAAACATTTAAATATCTGCCAAATATATCTAGCAGGGTGTTTATGTTTATAATTTTCTTATTCAAAAAATAAATTGTAGTATATAATTATTATTTCAGGACATTTTTAAAAGTGACGTTGAAAAGACGTCTATCTTAACGTGAATACCCCAAAGCTAACTAATGCAAGACCTTACTCGAGATTTTAGTTTCTGTTCTGTCCTTTTATATTACTAGTTTTTTGTTTCTGAAAATAAATGACCAAAAATCGAAGCATAAGAAGCATTGTTCTAATAATTTTTTTGAATGATGATTAAAAGTCATCTATTGTATGACTTCTCATCTGATATGACTATTTTTGCAATATGCGTTTAGCATTTTTCTTTAAATTTATTATGTTGTAAGAGTAAATTGGATAAATAAGGAATATTACGTCATTTTGAAACTAGAAAGACGTTTCTAAGACGTCTATATGACTTCTCTTTAAAAGCTCGCAAATATTTGCTAAATAATACTTTTGCAGTATTCCCATTTTTAGCTTTCTAATTATTCTAAAAGCAAATTACAAAAATTGAAATATTTAATCAGTTTAACATATTTTTAAAAATAACGTCTAAATGACGTCTATTCTAAGATTTGAAACATTGAAACGTCTTTCTATGATTTCTTTGACAATATATTTTGAGCATTTCTTTTTCTAGTTTTTGTATTTCAATACCAAATTTTACAAATAGAGAATACCGTTTGTATATCGAATGACGTCTTAAAAGCTTATCTTTAACAACTTATTTGGCAAATACTACTTTTGGTGCATTTCTGTTCCTAGTTTTCTAAATCCAACAGTAACATGATATAACTGAGTGTGAAATGAGAAATAAAATCAAATTTATTTCAGAAAAACATCTACAAGACGTCTATTGTATAACGTAAACTTTAAAAATTATAAGATTGGCGATTATAATAGTCATAGTTCCTTGTAAATCTTTCCTTTTACTTATCTATTGGGAGACCAACTCGACGTTATTGTTTTAAACTGTCACTGCCCTACCCATTCAAAGCGCTCCTGATACACGGAATACGACCACACTCACCTGCAAGAGAATTCGTTTTCTCCGAGACACATCTCCAGACATTCCTGCCGCGAGCTGACGACTTGCTGGCTCTTCACGTACCCCATCAGGCGGTAGTTCTGTACCCTGTCTATGCACCATGCCCTCTCGCAGGGTTTTACTCCCAAACAGCTCTTCTGCGCGTAGATGGTGAAGACTGGGAACTGGGACTTTGTCAGAGCACCTGCAAAAAAACGTATCATCAGTTGTCGTCGCTGCTAGACGTAAGGAATTTGGTTTTAATAATGGTATTTTTAGAACAACTATTGTCATCCGATATCCGACTGACCTGGATCAGGAACCGATTACGGATTGGCCATCGTCTACTTGCTTTTGATGACAGGAGGCCCCACGCTCTGATTTATTTAATTTATCACATGATTAGAAACGGTTAAATGTAACAATAAGAAAGAAATGGAATTTCGTTGGGCAGAGAATACCACAGACACGAACGCCGTGAACAGTTACACCACAGCATTCTCTTTTTTATCGAGGTTTCGGATCGACCGCGTGGTTGGATTGTGTCAGATGAACGCGCATTTTTTCCGTAACGCGATGAATTGAAAGTGTAGGAGCGAAAAAACATCCATACTTCTTTGTTTCTCGAAGGAGTTTTTACAGCAAAGACATTACATTCACAAACGTGTGAACTTCTTGAGTTTTTCTTAAAAAAACAGAGGAATTAGATCTGGTAAATTAGTAGGCCGCAACCTTTCAGTAATTTTATTTGCGAATAAGGCATTTTTTTTCCAGTCCACCCATGAAGCGTAGTCCGGCTGTAACGATAAATAAAAGCGCGTTCCTCGAAGCCAACGTACGTTGTAAAAAAATATAATTCTCTTCTATTAAATCCTCTCTCTTCGATCTATACAGCTGCAGTCGGTGTCCGTTGGTAAGAACCAAGGCAAGAAAATACCTTATCATATTATTGTGGTCGAGGACGAGATACGATTTAGTTTTCAATTGTGAGACTCGTTCTGCCCATAAAGGCTAGCTCCACGCCAGCAGGCAAAAAACCAATAACACTGGAAGTGAATTAAACCTGTTTTTTTTGTCGGTTGCGCCGCAAAAAGGGACGATCTGACAAGTTCAGGTGCCGGCTAGCGAGCGCCGCATCCGCCTGACACTATGTGGATGTAACTAATGGGGAATTATTTGAAAAGATTGGTGAAATAATATGCATATATCCCACGTCTTATAAATTTGGATATTCTGTCGGTTTACGATACAATAACAGGCGATTTGTTCTCAGTTGTTATAGTTTTGTACCATTTATATATAATTCTAGTACCCTTTCCTGAGTATAGTGGGCACAAATCAATTGTGCACACTTTACTGATAAAAATTAATTAAAATCATCATTAAAAACATCTTATCGCTTCTACCGTAAATATGATCAAAGCAGTGGGTGTTAGGGAAATTATGACTCAAAATTCAATCTGAAAACTGAAATTATATTGTTCCCGTACTTCTTTTTGGATAGAAAAACACCTAATTCACATTTTTAGAGCTAAAGTAACCTACCCACTGTTCTCTTGCTATGTGTAAATAGGTGCATATAAAATCAATCATGCATTAAATTTCCCGCAACACCGCCGAGCTAGTTTTCTGCATTGAGAGCTCCTCCACAGCCCATATACCCAGCTCACGTACAAGATACTGTAGCGGCATTTCTCGGATTTGTTTGACAACAAAATCACTGAACTGTACGAGAAAGAATCGCGTTTACATGAAGTCCATCACAATACGAGCTGCCGGAGTTCTTCCACCGCCATTCCCCTTTACATATTACTGTAAAACGTTATGAATTATGATTAGTTTGCCGAGATGAACAACTGTTAAGCCTCTGGTGGCGGCCGGTTATATGTATTATTAGCCGGGAATACTAACAAAGATATTACGTGGAAACAGTTTTAATGATGGTTGTCGCGGTCGGTGTATTGTCGATATCGCGACGTGGTGCTGATGAGGGCAGGAAACTAGAAATTATTGCGAATTACCATGTTTTTTTTTTTGTCTTTATCTTTTGCGTGTGGTCCAATCACTTCCACTGGTTTTGGCCTTGTTACTGCTTTGTCAATTGTTCCTCTGTTGGGTCGGCCTAAGTTTCGCGTAATAATTGTTGATTAATTTTTTGGAACACAGATAAATCGCTTAATTAAAATTGTTTGTTTTGTAGTCCTTGTAATTTTGTGTCTACCATCCATCCATATAAAACTAGGAGAATAATTCTACGGCATCGACCTGCGGGAGTATTTTTGAGACGGAGCCTATCTAATGCACGAGCAGTTCCTACATCCTGTCGGATCCATATAAACATAAACCTACCGCATCACCGAAATTCCACCAAATATCAATAACTTACTTGCGCGTGTGGCGCATTACCGTGACACCTTCTGCATTTGCCGCAGTGCATCGACGGGGTAAAATGTGTGCCCCGAGTGACGGATGACTCAGGAATTAATTTGATGGATAGCGACGTCCCGATTCTTACTCATCTATTACCGTTCGTAATCGATGTTTGTCGTGCGCCTATCTCAGACTGAGGAATGTCTCAATTTTGATGTAAGTAAGGTGCTTTGTGATCAATCAGTTATTTATAAAATATTTGCCAGCAGAGAGATATAAATCTGGCAGTCGAGCATATCCATCTACGCTTTCATGTGCTTGATAATTACTTTCATTAGAGTGGGTAGTATTACTGAATTACTTAGGTCTTTAGAGAAGTCGGGTATTACCTGTCTCTATCTAACCCGTCGGCGCTCTATCCTCTTTAAACGCCGATGAGTCAAATCAAGGAGTATGCACAAGAAATTTGGTATATTTACCGAACTTGATGAAACGACAAGTCAATCAGGGGGATATTTACAAAAACAATACTCAATATTTGATAAAGTCGTATGAAGTGCCGAATGTTGATACAACATTTGTCCCCCACCCACTTGGCTAAATAATCATCGACGGCCCGGAGGGCAGACGTGTTTGTGTTACATCCAGAATCGATAACTGTGTTTGCTCGCAATTTTAAGGCCATGTGGAGCTTGCGACGGAGAAAAACGTCCCGCGAAGTGTTTTATTTGTGTTGCGAGTTTATTTTTTAAATCGGAGCGCGAGGGGGTGAGAAATACATCCAGCCATGACAAAAAAACGTTATATTTAATAAAGCCGCGGATTGGAAACATGGTAGATTTTTGTTCGTTCAGCTAGCACGAGGACAGACATTCCACTGATATAAAGTGGGGTTACTGGCAAATTCCTTCGACCGACCAGCACGCCGCGCCCGAATTTAGCCTCCTACGACGCTCCGGGGCCGTCGTGGCCGGCGCAAAACCCCGCACCGGATGAGATAAGTGTTTCCGTATGAGGTGGAACGGCCCGGTAATGACTCCGTGCTTTCACAGCCAACTGAGCAGCGAATGCAAACGGACGAGTCGGTGCATGCACCCTGAGCGCTCCACGAGGATGAACAAATCAGATCTCTACGTGATACATACTTCCAATGCTTCCCGAGATTGTAAATAAGCTGCAAACGAAGCCGGTCAGTGGCGCACGAGGCGGCCGTGGAGGATCGACACGCTGTAATTATCGTGTCTGGTTATTACGGGCTGTTAACCCAGAAATCCAAATGCTGAGCTAAAATGCAGTGTAGGATACCACTTCTTCAGGCAGCAAGGGAAATTAGGAGATAGTTGAAGAACAAAAACAAAATAGGCGTCGAAGTAGTGGAAGGTGGAATACCTGATGGGATGCCAATAAGACCAACATGAAAATGGTAATGCAACAGAGGAAAATTTAGTTTTAATTTAAGAATGTTGGTACTTTATCATTAATCTTAATATGAGGAGAGTCATTACTGAGAAAAGACTACTGAAGAATCTTTGCAAATTTACAAGTCGACGAAACTATATTTCACTGAAAAACAATTGGAAGTAGTCAAAGGCGCCTCTTCTAACATTCTTTACAATAACTTCTCTCATTGCAATGAATGTTTTTAACATTTGAGTGATAAAATCAGGAGCTAGCCGTAGTATGGAGTTATCCAAGTTATTGAGCAGAAGTTGGAAAAGCAGAATGTAAGAATTATATTATAAATCTAGATCGATGGCTTCCTTAACAAATGACAGTAAGAGACGTCGTCGAATGTGATATAAATTTTCGTCTGGCGATTGTTCTGCCACTGGAGCCGATCCAGCTCTCAGCCCGACCAAGCATTACCGCTGGAGGTTGAAGCGAAGTAGGTTCAGCAATCGTCGAAAACGCTTTCAACACACCGGGTAAACGATTATAGAAATTACATGGCTCGATATGTTGCGTGATAGGCTTAAACTTGACACCGGCGTGGCCGGTGAAAGTTTTTCCTCGCTTTAAATATGTACCACGCGGAATTAAGTAATTTCTCACACGGCACTTGCTCGCCTCGTTGTTATTGATGATATAATTGCGCGAATTGGAAGGGCAGTTTGTTATTGTCTGCGGTGCGGCGTTATCCTTGAGACACTCGCGCTCTAGATGGATTGCTGTAATTCTTCACTACTTAACTCTTATCTGCACTGTTGCGATCGGTAATCATCCACCTTCTTCTAAGAGTTTTTTTTGTTGAACCTGACCCGACATCGTCCGCACGGTTACAAATGCAAGTTACATCTCTGGCGCGTATAAAAGCTCGCTGATTTATCGACGCTCAGTGCCCATTTGGTATCCCGCCGATATAATTCAGGAGGCGATCGGGATACGATTGAAAAAAAATCCAAAACCGAACGCTCTGCGATTTGTTCCCACGCTGGTACCCACTTCGACATGCGTAATCGGGAGATGGCTATCTGGCTGCCATCACCGCCGATGAAGGTATCGTAAAGACCCCCATTTGACGTTTCCGACGGTCTAGACCATATGAATTCGGATTTTTCATGCGGTCGCATTCATTGGCAGTTGCCAGCCGACTTGATGTATTCAGCCGTTCCAGATAGCAGCGCTAAGTTGCGAGCTTGCCAGATCGAGCGACTTCAGAACACAAATTGTCCGTCTAAGGGGCTCCGCGTACGTTTCAATGGTGAGAAAGTGTTTTTTTAGAGCGACATCGCTGAATATATTTAATTTGAAGCTCCACTGCTACAAGAAATGGATACGTCTTCGAGAATGACCCGCTGACGACGGGGAGGCGTCTCTGTTTCCGTTTACGTGCGTTGAGGTGCAGAAAATTTTGAATTTGAATAACTTTTATAAGGTCTTCGATTCATATTTTACCTTGTTAAGCACCTGGGTAGTGCCAATCCTTCCAAGAATCGATCTGTACAGATTTTGCTCGTGGAAGGATCACGTCTACATTGAATTTTAATCAGGCTTTAATAACAGGATGTGCTCTCTGTTATTATGCAATTACAAATGGGTTTCAACCACGCTACAACACCTCGACGTGTTATTATATCTGGAGGGGAAATTTCAAGGTGGTGTCATTACTAGTCGAGTTGTGGAATTCGAAGTATGCGCGAATTGCATATCCCATTCAGATATTCGCTGTACAGACCTTGAGTTAGGTCATTTCCTATATACGAGGTTTGTAATGAATGATTCTCGCGCATAAGGAAGGAGCATCGGCTGCTTGCACCTCGCAGGAATTAAGTAAATGACAGGCTGCAAGCGTTTGGACAGCGATCCCGTGGTCAGGCAAAAAAACGAACTGTTTTAGGTCAGTGCGCGATAGTATTGCTCTATTTAGTGGTTTGTGGCGTATTTAGAAGTTTTTGGGGGAAACAAAAATCTAAATTTAATGGAGAAATGCCAGAATGTTATCGAAAACATGTGAAACTCGCAGAAATACACTCGAGTGACAGTATTGCTTCTCACGTGAGTTAATTTACATTTCACACTCACCAGGCAAGAAGTCGGAGTTGGAGCTGAACAGCACGCACAGCCCCGTCTCGTAGTTCACCGACTGGCATGACTCGTTGCCCTGGCACGTCTCCAGGCAGTCAGTGAGCATGAGGGTACCGGGGATGGAGTCCAAAACGTTGCTCGGTGCGGAGAAGACGTTTCCAGTGATCAGTTCGAATCCGATCATCTCGGGATCGCAATCGTCGAGGGGCGACGGGGGCGGCACGGGGAGATTTTCGGGGGCAGACACCACTTCCGAGTCCGAACCGTCGTCCTTCTGGGCCAGGGTGTGGGCGGCCGCCAGTAGCGCGAATAAAAGGGTCCTAATCCGCGTCATTTTCTACGTTGATGGTTCTGGAAAGAAAGAAAATGGTATTACTGTTTTGCATATAGAAAGTCCAAAGAAAAAAAATCAGTCTTTAAGGTAAAGTATGTAAAAAGCTGTAGCCTTCCTCAATTTTCAATAAATTCGGTTTAGTGCTAATAAGGATCGATAACTCCGAAACTTCCGACTACAAAAACGAAAGCGTAGCAATGTTAAAGAGATTTTTAGGTTTCTGGATTTGGCGCTACCTCTCGGAATTCCTCACGAGTCCGTGCTCTTTCCATAAACAGCGTTGCTCTGCGAAAGGGCTTAACAGAACGAGCGCTACGTCTAAATCCCGGTTATTGAATTTACGTGGAAGTGGCCTTATAATAGAGCCGGCTGTGGCAAAAACCCGACGCCGTAACTCCTCGTTCGCGAGAAGTGTAGTCCGCTTCTTCTATTCACTTGTCTATCACAGTGTGTAATTCACAATACGAGCGGCCGCGTGAAATATGACCGCTCCGGAGCGATATACTGAGCTCGGGGTTCATTCAGATTGAATAATTGACAAACACCGGATCAACCGCAACGCGAAGTTGCTCGGAAATTAGCGGGAAACGTGAGGAAATCGGGGTACGGTTGTTAGAAGTTCTTTTCTGGTGGAATAGCAGATGCATCCTGTGTCATCTCGAGACTAAGTTGCAATTACACCTAATCGCAAAGCGATCTGTTGAAGACGGTACTTAGTAAGGAAGAGGATGCAGAAAGTACATTTTTAAGTATAATTTTTTTATAACCTAGTCTCGTCATAGCTATTAAATTTTCGTCTACGTAGAATTAATCAAACTTTGCTGGAGTTTGTTTCCTTTGTCCAGAAATCGATGAACCGCACGAAAAACATTGTACAAGGTAATTTTACATCGTCTAGTGTGCCGTCAAAGTAACCAATGATCTAGTGTGTAATTTTACATGAAATTGTTTAATGAGTATTCGTCAATCAAAGCTCTACATAGGTGCTGCATAATAGGAAACGCAGACAAAAAGGCGTCCGACTGAATTGTAACGTGGCTTTTGTGGAAGGTAATTGCAAATACAGTCGCATATAATGCAGGATCATCGTGATTTGATTTAATTAAAGACGCATTTTTAAACACTACTTTGACAGGTAATGGTGATGCAGATCCTTTGATGTGGCTTTAGCACGATGTTTGAATAATTTACGCTGCTATAGATGATGTTTAATCAGTGCAAATGTGTGCAGAAGACAGACAACTGAATCGTGAAGGTTTTGGTGATCTGATGATGACGTATAAAGATCAGGAAGAATAAGGATTAATGGAATACGTTGCCCAGGCTTGAAGACAACTAACTATTGCTTTGAAGACACTGTGACCAAGAAGTTGGATCCAAAACCCAGATGATTCAACAAACTATGGAACAAGTAGTTTGCCTTCTGTGCAAGTTTCCTCCATCTTTTACGTTTAAAGCTTTCTGTTCTTGTTGTTGGTCTTCTACTACACTTTAGATTCTTGCGCTGGCTCCAACGTTTGCGCTTTCCATACGGAAAACGTTTTATTCATTCTATTGCAGCGAGCGCGATAGTTAAAGCAGGTTTATTGGTCTAATCGGGCACGACAAACAAAAGACTGAAACTTGTAAAAGTGAGAACGGGCGAAAGCTCGCGGCACCGCTAATAAATTAAGTGAAAGCATATGTCTCGGCACGGCGCAATTTACGCAGGTTCTCGTTAGAGGCGAATAAGACCAAATAGACGGAATAACCACGCCGTCGCTTCCTAGAGTATCCATCGCCGTCATAGGTACACTACCATTATGCGAGCACCTTGACCACTTCAAATTTCCCATTGTAGGCGTGAAACTAATGCCCCCATATAAATTTCTCTCGCGAACAATGAAAATGCAGAGCACTTGCATCCTCTTATAATAAGCCAAGGCGTAGATGGTTACGAGTAATGAATCTAAACGGTGTTTAACGTTGGGCGCCTCGGGCTGGACTATAAATCAAACAGCTCTTAACTCGAAATACGTGAAAAGAGGTCCTTGGTCTCTGCAGAGGTCAAACGGGGATCCTTGTTATCTCTTGTGTTGGTGTTGAGCGCCTGGCGAAACAAAGAGTGACAAAAATTCTGAGAATAATGGTATGCTCGTTAAAATCTTCACTAGGCTTAGTTGCTTCTTTACAGCAAAGTTTTTGTTAGACTAGATGGAGGTACAATTTTTTTGGAGCGCAGGATCGCCATAAATGTTCAGAAATTCCTATCAATTTTATTCACTGATTTGCTGAAAACTTAAACTATGATTGACTTGAATCTTGAGTCCATCATAAATATAATTGATTTACAACATTCCGAAGTCGAGCTATGCCGTTTAGTGTTTGTTTTTAGATCCAATGTCGTTAACCGAACAGTAAAATGTCCATACGACGCTCAAAAACGACCGTCCTAACCGCGTGATGGCAACCATCTCGTTGGATAATTAACAGAAATTGTGGAAGACCATAAACGTCTTCATAAACAACCTGCTGCTCGTGCGGAAATAAATCAGCCAACCCTGTGGGTGGAAATCACTTTCTATACTCAATCGAATGTTCACCTTTCCCAACGATCACTATCCCGCACGTACTGATAATTTAAATTAATTGAATCGCCTGCTAGTAGAGGAGTATTTGTAATTTTAGCGACGGATGGAATTAGTCCAGGCCCGTATTCGCCAACACAGACCCGGAAGATATAAAAATGATTTTGTGTACAAGATGTTTTTAAAAATTGTCACCGCACCACCAGTGCTTTTCTTGTCCTCGACTGGTAAATAATACTTACCTCCTTTATAGTGTAAATAACTATTTTTATTAAATACATACAATACTGACACTCTCACCTGGTATTAGGTGCATACAATTTCCATGGGCAGTAACTGCGTTGTCGATTTTTTTCTCATAAAAAGTGATTTTGCAGTAGCTGTTTCTCTGTGCCCACAAATGTCACCAACCACAATATTGCAGTCGATAACTGTTCTGTTGGTAACCGCATTACATTCATGTGACTGAATTTCAAACATTTATTTATTATCATCACCGCCATCTGAATAACAATACGCAGGCAATTCTCATTACCAGTGGAAGAAGTTAACTATAATAAAACGGTGGGCAATATACATATGTCGCCGGGAGGACCGTTGGAATATCGCCAAGTTTTATGTTGCACTAAGTCAAGGTTCACAGTTAAACTAATTAAAATGCATAGAAAATTATTTACAACATTGTGTACCACTACTTCTAGTATTCTTTTGGATTTTATAGCGACGACGTGCAAACGGGACTGGAAAGATAAAGATAAGAACTCGTAAACTTAAAGGCCACAAAATTAAGCGGTGTTCCACAGGGCTCTGCCTTAGGTCCGGTCCTTTTTGGGATTCTTATAAATTACTGTTACAGTAAAGAACAACTAGAATTTATTTTCTAAACGTCTGTAGGGTTCGAACTAGTCTCTATCTCATACAATGTAAACATTATTTATCGCAGCCATCATCGAGGCGCAGCCAGACTCGTGTTCTTCTTCCTCGGATTTTTCCCGACCTAAACAAACATAAATACGGCCATCAGCGCCTCGTATCGGTCGTGGAACGCCCCGGGGCCGTTCCACTTCGTAATCTACGACGTCGTCAGAGGCTGCGGATCTCGGACGACTTGATGCTCCAATAATTAATATGAATCGTGAACTCGAGTCACTCTTACTTTTACCTGGACGGCCGTCAATGTCACGGCTAGGTTACTGTAGCAAAAATGCGGCGAAACGGCTATTAACCAAGTCGACTGTGGCTCCCTCTGGAGGCGGAATCGTTTATTTTGCGCTGCAGCGAGAAGTGACCGCCCCAGGCGGAACCTCGGCCTCATCGACAGCTGACTAATACGCTTCTGTGGAATTACCTTCATTAAATCGAGTTTTTTTCACGTTGGTGTGCACCTCGTACGAGGGAAAGTGCAGAAAAGGCCCCGAGATCGGATTTGTCAATGTTTTAGGTTCGAAAACTCGATTGCAAGTGGATTCAGTACAAAAAATTCCACAGAAGTCGAGATGTCAGCACTGTTAATTGCTATTGTTCCGTAACACCCACGGATTCATATATTAATGTGTTGAGAATTAAATTATGGTCGATAAAACGTATTAAACAAAGTCTCATCTAAGTGTATTAGTGGTTCATTGGGACAGTGGCTTCATTCTCGTCATCCGCCGGATCCTTTTACCCACATCGATAGTTTTGACGTCTCGAGAGTAATTGCAATGGCAAATATGCGTCCAGAGATAAGCAACATCTGTGTCGTTACGCCGTTTTGCTTTGGAACGTGCCAGGCCGAGCATGCGGGCGCGCAGTCGTAAGTCATGTTTCAACTAGTCGCGTCAATTACGTCAGATGTAAATCTCTCTATATTTTTTTACCGAAGAATTTGCCCCTCCATACAATTATTGAACTTTAGGTTACTAGTGTGGAGTCAAAGTGGGGTTTACCATAAACTGTATGATTGGTTAAAGTTCTAGGAGCACCAGGTGTTGATTTCGAAAGAGTTAAAGATAGTAGCAATGGAAAAGAAGGTCTGAGGAAGTATTCCATGTTAAACCAATTTAATCTGGTATACGGATGGTTAAAAAATTGAAACAAAAACGTGCTTTAAAAATTTTCTTCGTTTATTTTCAATACCAGGTCGAAGAACATATAGAAGAAAAATATTGTCGAGGCCAAAGATCAAAAGTAACTCCTCAATCATTCAATGTGTTGGGGGCACTTGTATTATGAGGAAAGATTAATGTAATCTGCTTGCGAGAAAATGATGTAATGCACCTTTTAATGTTCCAGATGAGATTGTTTAAATTATACCAAAGTCGTTAATTCATTGAAGGTAACAATTCGTGGTGTTCAACATAGATACTGACCAGCAGATGTTACAAATCAAGGCAAATAAATAAATCATTAACATAAATGTTAAATAATAATGGACCCAATATTGAGCCCCGAGGAACCCTAAATAATGC